TGTATTTTTCTAAATTAAACCAGCAACTACTGTCAACATGACATATTGCGCCGTGTTCCCTGTGCAGGCCACATGTAAATGTACCTACGCAGATGTTTTTGTGCTAAGCACCAACTGGTATCACTGATATAAATCATCAGTGTATAGGCTTAAACAAACTCGAAATAAGTCAAGTACCCAGCTGGTTTTCCTCTACTCACTGTAAAGACTTCAACACATCCCCTTCGAGTGTAGTTATACCTCGAACGGGTAGTCTTTCTGTGTGTATATTTGTTTCTCCTAATACCTAATACCCTACAGCAGCACCGCACAGTTCTCAATCGGGTGCACCATTGATCGTGAAAATAATATAAATACGAACGCTCTTCAACCGGTGTACATGGTCATAACGGGGGTTTAGCTCAGGGGTTAGAGTGTTCGCTTTGCATGCGAAATGTCGGGGGTTCAAATCCCCCATCCTCCACCTCTTTTTTTTTTCCCTCGTCTTGTGAAGGGGCTCTGTTGGCACGCACACATCACGTAACCATAGTATACGAAGGAGGTACATGGAGATCCAACCCCGGGAATGATGCTCCCACACCCTTTACTCTAAAAACTAGACATTATTCATAGAATTCAAATCCCCCCCCAATCCCTCCTACTTTTTTTTTTTTTTCAGGAACGTACTGCTGTACGTCGGCAGCGACACAGAAACCGTCCATTTTTAGCTACAAGTTGTCTTCAGAAAGATACAGCTGTACGGCAGAACATGTAGCAAGATTCGCGCCGGGCTGAATGTGATGGAAGTGGCAGGAAACCGCAATCTCCATTCTTTTTACTTTTTTTTCCTTATCGCCTTCCTTCCGCTGCTGCACCCTCTCCTCGATGTAACGTATTCCCGATTTTTGTTCTGATTTTTTTTCGTGCGGATGAAGAGTGTCTGACCGTCGAGAACCTGGCATGGATGGCATTCTCCCGCACACTCAGTACATAATCATATGGGGAATACATGTCTTGATACTTTGCATTCTTTGCATGGGATCTACCGCTGTCACAGGTGCATGATCTTGAACCCTTCGTAGGTACAATAATGTGTGGGGTTGCATAGAAATGGCGCGGCCGTTGCAGAACGCAGGCCGTTGTTGTACTCCAGTCGAGGAGAGTGGACAAGGGTTGAATGATGCGAGTTTTAAGGTCTTAACTGGTGACCTTTTCGAGTATCTTTGCGTTATTCTGTTTTGCTTGGCCTTGCGTGTCGAGTGGGAGCGAAGGGCTCTGTACATCGTGTCCCCGTTTCAATAACGATCTCCTTTGTTCGGCGTGTCGCCCGCTGCGAACTCTGACTGCTGTGCGGGGGATTTCTTCCTCGTTTTCTCATTCGTAATACAGACCGCGTGTCTATTATTGTGTTGTGTTCCTGGGTCCTTCATTTCGTCCTTGATTTTCCATGCAATTGGCATCCATTTGGGTAGATAAGCCTGTGATCACGTAAGGAGTCCGCGTCCGTTGGGCCATTACTAATGCTGGAAGGTACTTGAGCAGAGATCGAAACGGATATTCATGTGAAGGCAACAGCAACACTAAGGCTAGAACCCGGGGATGGTAGTGCCACCAGCCCCTCCCCCCCCACACACCCTTCTTCCGCAAAAGCTGTGTAATCCTGTTTTCAATCTCTACTTGACGCTCTGCTTTTTGTGGTGTCTCGCCTGATCCGGCTCAATAGAAAGGAGGCCAAAAAAGGTGTAAAAAAATTACAGTACGCACGCACCTGAAGTGTCATCCGTCTTGTCTTGGAATGCTGATGCCCTAGGTTCAAGATCAGCGGGCGCAGAACCTGTGCAATCGCCGCCCGCCCGCCCGGGCAGGGGGTGGGCCATTAGAGGACAACAAGCAAGGCAGAAAAAAGGGACACCACCACAAGACCGAGGAACACCATGTCGATCACACACATCTGCCCCGCCCGTTACCCTTTCATCCACCTCTCTCATTGTGTTTATGCACAGTGATGACTGTTGTGCGTTCTTCTTCAATAAAAAAAAAAACAGGGCCACGTCTCACGATGGCTTCATATCTCACGACCTGTGTTGGTGCTGACACGAGAACGACACCAACAAAAGGTTGTGAACAAAATGTGTCTCCTGTGTAGGAAGAGGAGATTGGCAAAGAGGTTGATCGCGAGACAAGCGAGGCACAGGCGCAGCGCTGAACGTAAACACGGAAATTATTACCCAAAAGAGGTTGGAAAACACCGGGTGTCCGGAAAACTTCGCTCGAAAGAAAAGTAAAGCACGAGACGGGCGCAGACCAATATTGCTTCAGAGTTTATCACCGGCCCACACGCCCATGTGTTTTTAGTCGGTTCCAAACCTATTTGTACGTGGTGCCATAAACGCACGGGAGACACCATACCCATCAATCCACACCTTCCCTAGGCGGGACTGGAGCCCTTCCGGACATACACCGGCCAGCCGCAGCAATAGAGAGCAGCACTCCCGCTTCGCCTCGGGAAACGGGTCCGTCAGAGCCGCCGAGAGCACCCCACACGCCTCTCCGGCAATCTGCGGACCCCCCCCCGCCCCCGCCCCCCCGGTGTTTGTGTCGACACCCCCCCCGCGCGCGCGCGACAGAGACGGTAAGACGCAATTACCATGCCGGGCCGAGAGAGCCAAATCACACGCCGACAAGAGGAGCGGACAAAGATACGGGGGGCACGGGAAAAAGAAGGCGCTGCGTTTGAGCTTAGCAATCGTTGCAAATGAAGTAGGTTGCAGAATGCTTTTTTGTTCGAAAAAGGATCCAGCAACACCACAGGTGCAATGCAGCCACCACTTTACTGCCGTTGCGGTTGAGGGAGCCTGCCTGCCTCGTGGAGATAAAAGCTGGGGCAGATACAAACAGCCAAGCCAGTCAGTCCCCTCTGATCGTACGCAAGCCGCAACCTACCGACTGACTGCTGAGCGGCTTCCTATTTAATGCCTCGAAAAAGCAAGCCAAAACAAAAAATTGCGCTGCAACACAACCTTGCGCGCATGGCTCCGCTAGGACACAGATTGTGTCGACGCAAATTGTACGCAGCATACGTATGTAGACGCTTCGCAGAAAACACGGTTCAAACACAGACTGACCCTACCTCGCCAACGAATATTTCGGCGCCCTTCCCTCTCAGGACCGCGCCGCACAGTCGAAGCAGGAGAGCCCTCACTTCCTCCGCGGGCTCGACCAGCGGGACGCTCCCTATCCGCACTTCAGCCATGGAGAACACCTGCACCGGCAGCAGCAGCAGCACCACCAGAACCACCATCACCACCACCAACAACAACAACAATGACCACAGCAGTAGCAGCACCCAGCAACAGCACCAGCAGCGCCAGCAGCAGAAGCAACAGCAGCAGCAGAAGAAGAAGTAACAGCAGCAGCAACCACCAGCACCGTAATTGTCAGAGAAACGAAAAGAAAACGGGAAGGAGCAGAGCAAACGAAAAACAAAACAAAACAGATTGTTCAAGGGAGACTCAAAAAAAGGGCGACGGGGAGGACAACACCAACGCTAGACAGCAGCAGAAAACAGCGACAACAACGACGACCACAGATGCACGAGGCACAACAGAACGAGAATCCCGAGGGGGGGGGAGGGAGGCGCACCTGCTTAGCCAAAGCCGTCGTGTCCGGCAGTGCATCGCCGCCCACGGCATCCACAAGCTCCAGCAACAGCCCTGAGCAAACACGTCACCAACAGCACAAGAAATTAGCGCATCGCGGCCATGCCTACATCCTTCTCCTACGAAACCGTACGGTCAAGCGTCTCCCTTTCCGCCACCTGCTTTGAACCGGCATTTCGACCACCGTCACCACAGCCGCCGGCATTCGGGCCATCAAAACTGTTTCGACAAACGACTCTCGTTCATCGCCGCTCGACCTCCCTTTCGCTCCCTCCCTCCGCACCCATCGCCCCCCCCGGTGTTTGCCATCGGGGTTGGCAACGACGTTGTAAAACAAGCCGCCCCCCCCGGTGTTTGCCATCGGGATTGGGTTTTCGTCGCTTGGCAACGACGTTGTAAAACAAGCCAATTCACTTCGTGAGCTCGGCAACCAGGTTACCGTTTTTTTTTTT